GTTTAACCCGTTCCAGCAAATAGTTCGGCGGCAGTGTTCCAGGACGTGGTGGGTTTTCGCCTGGCAAGCGATCTCCCAATAAAAAACCACAAATGTCTGCTTATCAACACTGCGACGTGGCGGATGTGACTCGCCACAAAATAAAGTCACTGGCCCGTGGACATCCGGAAAGTGCTATCCAACCCAAGGATATCAATCGCTTATGCTCACATTCCTGACGATAACAAACAGTCAAAAATGCTGCGGCACATTCAAAGACACAAGCTACATTCATACACAATTACATACGTCTATGCACCCGTACACATGCATTCACTGTTATGCCAAACATGTACTATCTGTACATTTTTAATCACGCTGTTAGCTAAACGTGATCATGCCTGTAAAGGCGTGTCTCACAAGGTCGAGAATAAAAGTTTATTTATTTAGTTAATGTCGCACCAGCTATTTCCTTGGTGGTTTTCCTGGCAAGGGCTCTGCTAGCAACCTAAGACAAGCGTGCCAAGGTAAATAAAGGGAAGTATAATAAGTAACAAATAATGTGTGAGTTTGTTGTTTACCCGCCATTGCGCTTAACACATGGTAGGCTTTGGAGCCAGGTAAAAGATGAATGACGCACGGGCGCCGAATTTAAGGCTAAGTGGTGGTCGAACGTTTCTGGATGTCCAGCCAGCCAGTGTGACAGGTGCCTGTAGGACTAGTTAATGATAGTCCGAGACGATGCGCGGAATTAAGCGCGGATATCAGAAGGCAATTAGAGTCGGACACAGCGGAGTGTATTCGATGGGCTACAACAAGAAGCGGACGAATGAAGCGAGGCAAGAGCGCACACGTGAGCGCGGGGTCGATTTTCCAGGAGTGGCTTGCCGAACTACATCCTCATGGTGCCAGCTGGGTCGTTCGGGCCTATACCGTTCCAGCGAACTGTTCGGCGGTAGCGTTTCAGGATGGGGTGAATTTTCATCTTGCAAGCGTTCTCCTTATGATTAGCCATAAGTTTCAGATTAGCAACACCGCGACGTAGCAAATGCGACTCACCACTAAATAAACTCACTGTCTCGTGCTTCACCTCTGTGGAGCAGTATACTCCAGCAAGTGTGCTGATATCACGGAGAGGACTGGACCCCTGTTTGGTAGCCGAACAAACAAAAGCAGTATGAAGTTAACATTCAGTCACCGCCTCCCAACGGGCGCGATTCCCTGACTTCGCCTCGCTGTCTTCCGGATAGGCTATTTATCCAAATGCTCGGGTTCGTGTCTCCTAAGACAACTCCCTACTTCGGCTAGAGCAACCGTGTAGTATCACACCCAGTGACAAAATGATGGGTTCTTAATCTGTTATATCGCGCTCAGCTGTCTTTGGTTTCGCTACTTACACACCTCCCCACTGAGCTTGTTCAGTTAGTACCAATCACTGTTATCCGTTACCAGCTGATTCCCGAAGGATTCATTGATACCGAGTGGTACTCCTTCGGCCTTGGTTCCCGTTCCGTCTGGCATGCTTCAATGTACGTACACTCATACAGATCAGGCAGCAGACTGGTCTTGCGCGCACCTTGGAATCCCTCAGCATCAATGTTTGCTGTCTTTCCGAAACACGCTGGTAAGATCCTAGTGCTGCAATTGCGTTCAGCTCTCTCATCGACTAAAGCGCCAAATTTCACCTACGTCTACCTGATGACACAGAAGCAGTTGCGGCAGATTTGGTTGGTATTGCTATAGCACTAAGTGGCTAAGCCGAAGCCGAACTGCTGGACTGGTTTATGAATAATATCCGACTGTGTACAGTTCGGCTTCGCGAATCATGCAGGATCAAGAGTTGTCGTGAGGAGAGACGAAACTTGTTTGCTGTTTCAGCCTAAGCTCCAAGTGACTGCAGTTCCACTTGGTCAAGGACGACTTCTATCGGGCTCTTGATCAGTGCTTGCAAACCAGATAGTGTTGTCCCCGTTAGATAACTCAACGCATGGGTTGGTCGTATATCATCTTACCAGTGTCACCTCGGTTTACAACATACGCTGGATGAGAGCTGCTCAGGTATTAGGGAGAGACTTCTCACACTGTGCGAATGCAATTGTTTGTTTCTCTCGAGTAAAAGATTCCGGCATTGGAGGATAAGTTCCGCTACTTGGCGACCCGCTTCCGCGTCTCGGTGATGGTCCCAGATTGATCATATCGCTATCACTTTCGGATGGCGAGGTAGCTTAAAGGACTGCAGATCAATCTGGTAAACTTTTGTTGATTCAGATAACTCTCTTGTTTTCGCGAACATCTGCATGAGTTTTTCAGAGTCTCCGAAAACGAAGAATTGTATGGTAGATAAGATTAACCTATCTACTCTCTCGTTTCAGCAGAGCTAACAATCTTCCCTGACCGATGCACTCAGCTGCGACCCAGCGCAAGACATTTATTAACACCGGCCCTTCATGCAGAGGACCATGATCACTTCCGCGTAATTAGTCTGTGGTCTTACACAACACCATATGAAGACACGGATCTCCACGCGCAAGCTGGATCTATTTGACCGTCGCGGGTGTTACTGAGAGGAAGCTTACAGCCAGCCATCAAGCCGAGAGCAGCGGCGTAGAAGCGGATCGATCTACAACTGGAGATCGAACTCGAGTACAGAACAAAATGCGAATCGATGTGGAATCAGCGGCTAGTTGGGTTATGAACTTGAGCCATTTGAGTTGTATTAATTAACATCAATTAGCATCTCCAATATTATCATGTTAGTACTTGTCCACAACCTATTTATTGCGCCATGCTCTCATACAATACGTCTCTCTGTCTACCTAGTTCCGGTCTTTTGTATTCCGTCGGTTGGCTGGGCGCGTGACTGATCAGACAGACAGTCGCAGTCTTAAGGGGCAGCTATCAGCAGTAAGATAGTCGTCTGGACAGAGATAAAGTAGAAGCGTTACGACAGCTGGAATATCCATGCCGGATCTAATCATAATGAAATGCGTCCTTCTGTCAGCCTACGCATTGATACTGTAGCGTGGTGGTGTCACCGCACTTTGAAATTGGAGGCCGCTGCCCACTCTTGCAATACTTGCAAACTCTTCTAGCTCATTCAGACCACTGGACACAGAAAGCCTGGTGTCATTGAGAGAATTTGCGAGGCCGATGGTTCGCTGATTCCCAACCTACAGAGACGCTTGTATCGATAGGCCGAACATTTTCATTCGCAGTTCTATTAGCCCTCACCATCCATTTGTATTCCCTGAGAACCCAATTGCCCGCTATGGGTCATCACACTTAATCCACTCAGAGAAGCGGAAGTTTGTGTTGGCATTAGGCATTTCAAACGATTCAAGGTTGCCAGTTCAGATGGGCTTCCTCTAGAGCTGTTCAAGTATGAAGGCACAGTTATAATCAGCCAGCTAACAATGTCTCCAAGATCTCGCCGAGAGAAAGTGCATTATTTCTGGCGCGAATCCGTTATTGTCCCGATTTTGAGGAAGGGTGGTTGCACTTCATGCACGAATCACTGGGGGATTAGTCACAATTCGGTCGCTTCCAAGCTATTGACATTCACCCTACTCCGTAGACCATTCCCGATTCGTGTATCGCTGTACCAGGACTAACAAACTAGCTTCCATCCGGTTCGTGGGTGTGTGGATCAAATCCTCACGCTTCGCGAAAACGTCGACCACCGCCACATCGTTGCATCCCTAGACAACCGTGTTGCATTTGACTCGATCGACTTGCGCGATGACGTTGCTTGCTAGAGAACGGAGTTCTAGAAAAGTACACCACCGTCCTGCGTGCACTCTACCTCCACAACTCCGGTAGAGTGCCAACCCATGGCAAGCTTTCGTCGTGTTTCACTGTCAAAAACGACGTTCGACAGAGCTGCCCTATGTCCACTTTGCTCTTCAATTGTGCGAATGAAGGAGCCCTATTGACAGCTCCGGAAGGTTATCAACATTTTGGTCTGCAGCTACTTCCAGGCAAGCGAGTAGCCGATGAAGCTTAGTAGTTTTACGCAATGGCTTAACTAGAGATTTACTTGGTGAAATCATTGTCGGTGATGAACTTTTTGCAACAATTCTTGTCATCACCGATAAACTAAACGAGCTCCTTTACTTCCCAACCAATGATTAAGCAAAAGCATTCATAGATTCTCGGAAGGTGTGGAAACTTCTAACCTCCACTTCACGTTTTACCGGGTTGCAGCGGTGGTGTCCTTTCGTGCCTTCTATACATCGCTGCCCCAATGGACTTCCTATTCCACTTGACCGATTGTTCGACCGGCTTCTTGCATCAGTTACTAGCTTGCCTCTTCTAGGTCCCTGGTAATTTCTATGAAATTTCGGCCCAGCGGTAGCACTCTTCCGGGTTTTGGCTTACTTCACAGTCCACATCAAGTACAACAAAAGCCACATGCTTCGCTTTGGCTGATGATTTAATCGCAGCTCTCATGCCTACTAACAGACTTAGGTAGTCAAAGGAAATTGGAATGTCAACTGCCATCTCTGCTCTTCCTGAGTAGCATTTTGCGCGTTCTTCATCCCTCAGCCATTGAACTGACAGAGGACAAAGTTATTGTTTTTTAATTTTGCGAACATCATCCATCACCAAACCGTCTTCCAGGATCATGGTCGTTCACTGAATTTGCGTCGTACGGCTGTACCTGAATCTCCATATTCAAAGTCATATCTCAGTCCACCTGATCGATTGTTGAGAATATGCCTAAGTTGGTTAATTTCCGCGGGATTCTAACCCACTTGCTTGCGTACCAGGATCGATATAAAAATGAACGCCTTTTCCAAGCAGAAGTAGCTCGTTTTGTTGTCGTGCTGAGAACATACAGTGCCAAAACTGTCCATAAGGCCGTTTCACTCTCCCTGGTTGTCACAGCCGAAACATTCCTTAAAGTAACGGGTACACCTCTGTTTACAACGACACGTAACATTATGCGTAAACACTACATCATCCAACAATTCACTTTGAAGTAGCATGCCTAACATGCAGGATGCAGAAGGATACTATCTATGATTGTGCCTGAACTTCACGAGGCTTGTTTCTTCCGGCTTCCCTACATGTGTAGCATTAAATTGTGGATTTTGTCTGTTTGGAGTATGTTAGCTCGTGAACTTCCACGTAGCCACTCAATGCATGTTCAACAGACAACCTCGCTTTGGTACAACTTTTACAATAAGTTCCATTCCGACGACAACATTGTAATCGTTTTCGTGTTTCGTCCTTTCTCCCTACTTACCAGCTCGGACTATATATTCGACGATGACACCAGTGAGTGTGAGAAGGCAGAAAAAGGTGAATATGACCATTCCACCTATAATTACTCGAAACTGACCACGGTGAGTGTATCAGATCAATCATCTAGTGCTTGTAACGTAATAAACTAGCGCTCATTACACTCGGTAAAGAGGGGTCGGGTACGGTCGAGCACGCAAACAAGTCACTAAAGAGAAACAAATGACAAACATATCGAAAGCCACCCCATTTGTTGAGTATTAGAATAAAGGAGCATGTTGGAGTCAGGGGGACCCTTGAACTCGGTATTTCGCGCCGGGTCAAACATAGACGGTGGGGCCGTCCGCCACAGACTTTTGCTGTGTAGACCACGTTCATCTTGACAGCACTAAGCCTCTGTCTGCTTCCAATAGGGCGATAGTTTGCGACTGAGTTATGCGATTTGCATGACGACGTAACAAGCCGTTTCATTACCACACTCTTCCTGCTGCGAAATGTAATGAGAGTAAACCACAACACGGTTATTGGTGGTGCGCCCTCACAACGCTGCGCTCCACGGCCTTTTTAATGCTCCATTACACTGTCTAGGTATCGATGTCAGTGCCTCAACCCGAATCCGGGAAGTCTGAAGGTCAGCCGAAGCCTCTATTCCTGAGCCACCAAGTCCCGGTTGGCAAATCTAAAAGACTAATGTGGATAACTCATGAAACATCCGCAGTGTAGAGAAATGGCAACATACCATCTCAACTTAAATACGATTCCCTTGGAAGTAAAGCTCGCTCAAGTTCGTCACTGCGATCTTACCTGATGCATATACCATGTAGTACCGAATATAAACCAATAATTTCTGGACAACTTTTCATTTCTATAGAAAAGGGGGTCGGCTTATAAAGTGTTATACGCATTTGAAAAGTCACATGCAAAATCCATCTAGGAATTCACCACACACCCCTCCAACAATCTCCTCCTAGGACCACTCGCTAGTGACGGACGATATCATGGATCAGGTACTCTCGCGTTGGCGTGATTTTGGATGGCGCTTATGCAGTACAGCCACTATAAATGATCAATAGTAGAGCAAACTTCGCTTGAACACATTCAAGTCTGACAGGTAGTAATAACATTAAACCGTGGAGAAAAAAGTTGCGTTTCACTTTTCGCTGATTATTTTGGAGGTCGGCTAACATAGAAGATTACGACGTGGTTGTACTGTCAGTCTATCCATGGATTGACTTATATTCAGCAATATATGGTAACAATTAGAAGGTTCCCACTTGCAACACTGCAAGCCACAATTCATTTTACACTCTTTTGTTTACTTAGTGTGAGTCCTAACTTGCGGTTTCGGAAGGCTGCTCTATGCATGGATAAAATTCTATTTGTACAATTAAATCAACCCTGTATTTTTGATGTTGCTTGTTGCTAATCAGGGGAACCGGAGGAAGACGGTACACCTAGCTGTTACTGGATGAGCAGCCTAAGTGCCGGGCAAGGGTCAGTAAATAATTTAAATAAACGAACAGAGCATGCATTTTAATGTTCACACGGATCCAATTGTTCATTTGTTCTCCGAGCTTGGCGGTTTGCTTGCGAACGTTTCACCATCATGCTAGGTGGCATCCTCAGTGCAGTGAGATGCGGCGTGCAATCTTACTGAATGAGTCGTTCATTCGTGATCGACCTGTAACAAAACCGCCAAGCTCCGAGAACAAATGAACAAGTGAATCACCAACCCGTGCTAATAGTATTCCGAAACGTTTAAATCTACACTGACCGTTTAAATGAAGAGATAGTTAGTTTACTTGGTAGTTTAAACAACGAACACAAGCAAAGTGAGGAATTCAGACTGCCACGCACCCGTCAGGTAGACATAGTCCAAATGGGTGCTGTGTTAATGACGTCGGCTGATAGTCATCACCTAGATTCTATTCCATCCTCAAGTTTCTCGACCCGAAAATCCAATCCGCTTACTAAATTGGTTGTAGAGCAGTGCTTAGATAGACTTACGTCTAACGTCTGTCTGCATCAGAATATGGTTTACCCTCTAAGGTTCAGTAATACATAGACTAAGCACTCCCAGCTTATCCACATTGCAGCTATCCTTGGTGTTAATGTGTTTAACAGCCGAATTGCTCCTCGTTTCTCACCTTTGACTGTCTTCTTGACAGATCACTATTGTCCGTTTGCCCGTCGTGTACCTCACAGTTATCCTTACATTCAATTTCGTTTATTCTACAGCGACCAGCAGACTTGGAAATTACCAATCCATTTTTTCAACCAGACCTTGCCTTGGAGGAAAAAATACTTACACCGAATGCCGTGCCGGACTAGTCAATCGCCAGTGTGGTGGAGTGAAGGATACGCGACGTGCATGGCGTCTATTATTATTCTGACCATCTTCCAATTTCTCGGTGACTGCATACACGGCTATTCGAACAGGACCACGATTTCTGCACATTTGCGCACAGTGAATAAATATGTGAAACTGACTTACGTGAACCCCCTTCTTCTCCTCTTGTTCCTCACGCTAAGTACCCTTAAACACTTTGTGACTTGTAGCTCACGCGGAATCGGGGCAAAGTCTAAGCAGCGTTCACAAGCCTGTTAAGCATGAAACATGGAATCATTTATACCGATACGGACTTGAAACGGTATTCCATTGTGAGAGACTTGCACCCAGCGGTGCTAGTTATCGTGTCCTATGCGGCCTTCCCGTGTGCATGGATGCACAGACGCCCCAGTTCCCTAATGCTTGACAAAGTGTAAGCTTGTTGAGGCTACATGGAGCTTAATTCAAGCTAAGTCGCATTATTGCAACTTTGTTCTTCTGACCTATATACTTCTGACCAGCCCACGTTAACATCACTTGATTCACTTTCAATCACTGGCTTCACGTCGATCCCGTGCACTCAGTGTACCAACGGCCGTCGCACCACAGTAGTTGGAATGACTCAATCCGCTAACGTGGGAGGTATTCTCTAGTCAACTGCACTAGCGCTTAGTAAGAGAAAGATAGTAACTCGATGTCTTGGAACATTTTTGGAACCGATCGGGAAGTCATCATTGCAGAAGGCTTGGCAGCCGACGGGTTAATATATTTATGATGATACACAATGTTTCGCTTTTGACTCAAAGCTTCAGCAGGCGAAGTGAATTAGTTTAACATTGGCATCTTATAATGATCATGGGCGCGCTACATAGGAAGACTAATAAACTTGCAGTTATTGGTGCAAGCTTACAGTGACTATTGAACGCTGAAGCGAATCAGGGTCAATTTATGCGAGATGAACCTAACTTATAACTGATTTGGTATACTCATTTAACGTTTCCGTACGTAAGCTGTCACCCCGCAAGTTTATTAATTATTTCTGCACAATATTCCTTGCTTTTTCACAATGTCTGACTAAGCTCCTGTTATTAATGCGTCAGAAACTTCTTTTGGCGTTGCGTTATCTTTATTTAACGTTTCTAATCCACGCGTGAGGGTCATCCAAGTAGAAATAAATTTTCATTTTCGTAGGATCACGTCCCAATCCACTATGTTTTCACATGTGATCGCTCCATTACCTTCCAACATCGCTTCAGAGGTTATCGAAATTCTCGATCAGATGCCCGTAGATTCTGTAGGACTCATATATACTACTCCGAGATAATACGCTTACACTGGTGCGGATACCGAAAAAGCCGGACGGTTGGATACAACAGACTATAATCGAGGAAGGCTACAAACTGACGAAAATGAAAGAGGCTACGAGAGCGAAAGTTAGTGTCGTGACTCACCGTGGCCACAAGCTGTAAGCCGGACGTACACAAAATGGCTGTAGGGGCGGCGTTAAAACAAAAACCGATAATGGAAGATTGAGGAACAAATTTGTGCATAAACAGATAAGAAATAAGAAATACATGAGAAATATCTATTGCGTCACTACAATTATCCCTGCGATAAACTTAAGAAGCCATTTTAATGCACATTGCAGCTTCAGACGAAACATGTCTTCAGCTTTTACTCTCTGGCAGCAAACTCGGAGACAGAACTCTGTCTCAGCTACCTCGACATATGCGTTCCTTAGTTGATTCTGGAATCCTGGATTACACCGTTCTCTGTCGACTGTGGCTTATGTGGTTTCCCCCAAATACGGTGGCCATCCTAGACGTGCTTCCCGGCGATCTCTCCTAGGCAATCTGTCAGAAGCTGTTGATCAATTTCACGAGCGCTACGTTATAACATCTGCATCCCGCGTAACCGTGGCTAGTACGGGTGACTCCTCAGGAACCAAGCTGCTTGATGCTTGCTTCATTGGGGAACTTTCTAACTTAGAGCTCAGTTTGTCCCATCCCAGAAGTGATCTTGTTTCTTTACAAAGATCCATTTCTCGAACCAGACCTCGTAATAACTCTCGTAGACGACAGCCGCGCCATTCTTGTTATTATCACCACCGCTTCGTAAACGCAGCGTGTGCTTGCCGCGCAGGATGTCAACACTCTAAAGCCTTTTCAACTTCAACGTCGGAAGACCACATAGCCAATCAGTAATGACGGCTGTAGTTGCCAGGTCATTAATCGCCTACTGTACGTATTTGACTCAACAACCTGACTTTACTTCTTCATCACCATCCTCATCATACACGTTATCTAGAGGTGGGGAACACCCCAGCTACTGTGCCGCAGTACACAGAGAAAAAGAGAAGAAAAACAACTGTTGCAAACCGGCTTTGCTACCGGTAACGGATGGCATCGTTCCGGTAAGCTACCAGCCAGCTACTGTGCATCAAAAAAATTGCTGTGCAAAGTTATATAAAGCTACCTAATGAGATCGTGGTTGGAGGGGGAGGCTAAGGGGGTGGGGTGGGACAAAGAAACTCACAGCAGGAACGCCACTGAGGTCGGCTCCTAGCCATATCAACAAGTGTGTCCACCCAAACGTGCTCATCGTCTTTCGGGCCCCAACCAGGGAGCCGTGAAGCTCCAACCGAGCCTAGCTCCGAGGTGAGGGACTTCATTCCTCTCGACCAAATCATCGCTTGGCCACCCCTCCTCTTCTTCCATCCACACCGCCGGCGCGCAAACAACGCACGTCGCGGGAGTCGGTGGGCTAACATGCGTAACACGTGGCCGAGCCATCGGAGCCTGGTGCGGGAAATAACGGTGATGAGCGGTTCATTTCCTCTTCCAGTGCCATAAACAAGGCGTCGAACACGCTCGTTGCTCACGCGGTGTTCCCACCAAATGTGAGCTAAATTACGAAGGCACCGATGGTCGAACGTAACTAGGCTCTTCAGGTCCGCTGCTTTAAGCGGCCAGGTTTCACAACCGTACAATAGGGTCAAACGTACTGCTGCATTGTACACTCTACCCTTCAGGGCAAGAGTGATGTCGCGCTGGCGCCATAAGTGGCGGTTAGCAAAAGCTCCTCGAGCTTTTGCCATACGGCTCGTGATCTCATCCTCGATCCCACGGGCGCTGATACAACTTCCCAGGTAGTTGAATTTTTGAACGACTTGTAGCTGATCCCCACCAAGGGTCAGCGAAGAAGGCGGTCCAGACCAATCTTGGAAAAACGCTTTGCACTTCGAGGGTGCGAAGCAAAGCCCGAAGTGACGGACAGCTAGGGCTGATCTGTCCAGTGCCGCTTGACAAGTTTGTGAGCTGTGACAGATTACGGCAATATCGTCAGCATACTCGAAGTCAAGAAGTCGTTCTCCTGGGATCAGATCCACATATTATAAGTCGTGTCCTGTGAACGCGGTTTCCATGACCTCGTCAACAGCGAAGTTGAAGAGGAAAGGTGACAGCGGGCATCGTTGTCTCACGCCGCTGGAGATATTAAATGGCGACGACAACTTGCCGTAAGCCCTCATTCTGCCCTAGCTACGAGCATATAATGCTCGGATAATATTCACATATTTCTTGCGCACACTTCTCCTGAGTAGACAGTCCCAAAATGCATGTCTATCCACCGAATCGAATGCACCTTTGATATCGAGGAACACGACAACGGTGGGCCACCAATATATGTGACGGTGCTCCAACAACGGACACAAAGTGAAGATGTGGTCAATGCAGCCACGACCTCGACGAAATCCAGCTTGCTCTTTACGAATCTGGCTTTCACGAGTGCCAGTCAGTCTGTGGGGGATGAGAGAGGCAAGCAATTTGGAGGTGATGGATATCAGACTGATTCCTCTATGGCTGCCGCATTCCGATCGTGAGCCTCCTTTGAAAATTGGGACTATGACGGAACAGCTCCAGTCGGTTGGGACAGTCTCCTGCTACCACGGTTTCACTAGACACTCGTGTAAATCATCCAAAAGAGCAGGTCCCCCGAATTTGAAGAGGGCTGGAGGAAGATCACTGGTCCCGCGTCTTTATGTAACTTCAACAGTCCGATGGCACGTTCGACTTCTGAGCAACAGGGTGGATCCAAAGGGACAGCCCAGGGAGCAGGGCGATCAGTGGCCGGCGAGAAATCTATCCATTCCGACCGATTAAATTGCCTTTTAAAGTGCTCAGCCCAACGCTCTAAGCGTTTTGATAAGTTGTGGATAGGCTGTCCACTTTCGTCATGTATAGTTTCACGCACACCAGGTCTCCTGCTGCCCGTTTCCCGTATCAGACAGAATAACTTACGATGGTTACCAAGGGCAGCGGCCATTTCCATCTCTGATGCAAGATGAGACCACCAGGATTCGCGGTCTCTCTTTAGGCTAGCACAGTTTTACCCGGAGCTCTTTGCGATTTTCATTGTGTTCGCTTCCAGTCGGAATATGCCGGCGAGCGTCTATAAGTTCCCGAGACTGTGAAGCGACCCAATGTCCATGTTTGCTGTTAGACTTACCAAATGAGGATTTTCCTGCTGCTAGTAAGGTCTGGTGAACATGAGGCCAGTGACCTTCAATTGTCTCCAGTGAGCGCTTGCTCAACTCGCATTTCAGCGTAATTTAATAGACATTCAGAACAGCTATCTACGCCAGTTGGCTGGTGTCAATGCGCTCACAACATCTTCGTGGGCGTCCACCAAAACGCATCCGCAGGTCAACACATACAAGTACATGGTCGGGGTCCACACCTGTGCTCCAAATCGAGCGACAGTTCTGGACGCAGCCTCTCCATCGGTAACTTATCGCAATGTGATCGATTTGCGTCCAAACCTGGTTCGAGGCTGGTGGACGCAAAGTCACCCTCCGGCGGGTGCTTTGTCTGAAATTAGTGCTCAAAAGAAATAAGCGAGCATCCTCAGAAGTCAGGCTTCTACCCCATTCTCTGGATAAACGTCCCCACAACCAGCTGGTCCAACGTTACAGGCAACCAAACAAACTAATATCTTGACTTAA